TATATATAACATGACTTCCCTCTGCAGTGGTATGGTCCATCTCCTTGTATTTATATATAACATGACTTCCCTCTGCAGTGGTATGGTCCATCTCCTTGTATTTATATATAACATGACTTCCCTCTGCAGTGGTATGGTCCATCTCCTTGTATTTATATATAACATGACTTCCCTCTGCAGTGGTATGGTCCATCTCCTTGTATTTATATATAACATGACTTCCCTCTGCAGTGGTATGGTCCATCTCCTTGTATTTATATATAACATGACTTCCCTCTGCAGTGGTATGGTCCATCTCCTTGTATTTATATATAACATGACTTCCCTCTGCAGTGGTATGGTCCATCTCCTTGTATTTATATATAACATGACTTCCCTCTGCAGTGGTATGGTCCATCTCCTTGTATTTATATATAACATGACTTCCCTCTGCAGTGGTATGGTCCATCTCCTTGTATTTATATATAACATGACTTCCCTCTGCAGTGGTATGGTCCATCTCCTTGTATTTATATATAACATGACTTCCCTCTGCAGTGGTATGGTCCATCTCCTTGTATTTATATATAACATGACTTCCCTCTGCAGTGGTATGGTCCATCTCCTTGTATTTATATATAACATGACTTCCCTCTGCAGTGGTATGGTCCATCTCCTTGTATTTATATATAACATGACTGCCCTCTGCACTGGTATGGTCTATATATATATATATATATATATATCTTGACTTACCTCTGTTGTGGTATGGTCCATCTCCTTATATTTATATATAGCATGACTTCTGTCTGCATTGGTATGGTCCATCTGCTTGTATTCATAGTGTATATACAATATGACTTCCCACTGCAGTGGTATGGTCCATCTCCTTATGCTTATATATAACCTGACTTACCTCTGTTGTGGTCCATGTCCCTATATATGTGTATATAACATGACTTCTGTCTGCATTGGTATGGTCCATCTCCTTCTATTCATAGTGTATATACAACACGACTTCCCTCTGCAGTGGTATGGTCCATCTCCTTATATTTATATATAACATGACTTCCCTCTGCAGTGGTATGGTCCATCTCCTTATGCTTGTATATAACCTGACTTACCTCTGTTGTGGTCCATGTCCCTATATTTGTGTATATACATATACATGACTTTCCTCTGCAATGGTATGGTCCCATCTGCTTGTATTTATATATAACATGATTTCCCTCTGCACTGGTATGGTCCATCTCCTTGTATTTATATATAACATGACTTCTGTCTGCATTGGTATGGTCCATCTGCTTGTATTCATAGTTTATATGCAACATGACTTCCCACTGCAGTGGTATGGCCCATCTGCTTATGCTTATAACCTGACTTACCTTGGTTGTGGTCCATGTCCCTATATATGTGTATATAACATGACTACTGTCTGTATTGGTATGGTCCATCTCCTTATATATTTATATATAACCTGACTTCCCTCTGCAGTGGTATGGTCCATCTCCTTATATATTTATATATAACATGACTTCCCTCTGCAGTGGTATGGTCCATCTCCTTATGTTCATATATAACTTCACTCAGCAGTGTTGTCCAAATCCTGCACATGTAATGTCACACCCCCCTATATCACTATGGTCCAAATTACCAGTGACATTTACCTGTATGTTCATTCCTCGATTTTTACATGTTTCCCCCCTGCTCCGCAGTGGTATGGTCCAAACACTCACTGTATTACTGTGCTGTGACTTGGCAGGTCCTGGTGGATTCTGAGATCCTGATCTATGAAGCGTTTGGACATGACTCCCAGGGGAATCTGAAGGTTCGATTTAAAAAGGTGAGTAATGAAGGGATCTGGTGCATTGAGTGCATGGGGCTCCTTCTGTAAAGAGATCGCTCTTTTAATCCGGCACCCCCAACCTTCTCCTCCAGGTTCCTCATAATATAAATATCAGGGAGAGGAAGCAGAAACATTCGAAGAAGAAGACTGAAGGATTGGTGGAGGAAGTGAGCGCCCGAGCTCGCGTCGCTCGATTCCGATTCTTCCAGGACATATATGGATATTCAGGGGTGAGTGAGCACGCGAAGGTGGTCGCTTCGCCTTGGGGAGATCAGGTTTTGGTTTGATTCACTCCTCTTCCTTTTCTTTTAGGTGTTTATATGTGGCCCGTCCCCCCACTGGCTACTAGTCACCTCTCGTGGGGCCCTGCGTCTGCACCCCATGACTATCGATGGATCCATTGAATCATTTGCCCCCTTCCACAACATCAACTGCCCCAGAGGGTTCCTCTATTTCAACCGGCAGGTGAGAAGTCGGTCTGTCCTCATTGCGATGTGCGGCGTCCGTTCCCTTTTATGATGCGGGCAGGAGATGTACATGACAACGGACAATACAGGAATTACGTATAATATGTAAAGGACGGCACAGGAAGTATCATCTGTAATAGTACGATTAGACAAATGTGGGTCCTGAGGTTACACAGGTTGAGAACCACTGGTTTAGTCCCTTTGTTCTCAACTGGCGGGTCGCCATATTCCTTCCACTTTTCTAGGTGCGAGGCTCCTCAGCCTCCTCCTTTTGCAGCACTGTCAGTTCTTGCACGCCAAACAGCCATTTACAATATGCTGCCCGGCGCCGAGTGTCAGCTTGAGGTGGGATGGGCTGGGGCTATGGCCGTGAGGGAGCTCCATGCCTGGACCGGAGTGATGTCGCATTCTGGCTCCAGGCATCTCTACAGGGTATGCAAATGGAGCTGTACCAGCAATGCACACATGGATGGAGCTCTGTCACAGCACAGCGGCCCACACTGGACCCCGGGCTGATGATCCACTCCAGTTCTGGTAAGGTATGGAGACTGGGGGGATCTTTTTACTGACATCCCACCCACAGTTCAATCACCCGAAACGTGCAGTGGGACTCGGGTCGCAACTTCATGACCAAGGACAAATGTGGGTCCTCAGGTTACACTGGTTGAGAACCACTGATCTAGTCCCCACTTAGGTCCTCTTGGCCATGCAAATGAGGACTTGAAACAGGGATTGGTCCGATAGCTTGAATGGGAGGGGCTGATATGTGCACCATTGTCATCAGCATTGTGTTTCCAGAGCCGGTATTGAATTGTGAAATTGGACGGCTGTAGGGCCGGGCTCCCCCGCAACAGGCGTCCATTGTCCCCGGACACCCAGTTCAACCCACAAGGGGGGGGGGGG